TAATATTTCCTTCTTTTAGAAGATACTTCTACTTACTTTGTAGGGACATAAATGAACCAAATCAAAGTAAATGAGATAAATAATTAATATATGAATCTTAAGGAAGAAGTTGAAAATAGGTTTTAATAAAAAAAAAAATACCTCAAAATATCAAGAATTGGTATCCAATAAGGACTTATTGTAAAGCAAGGTTGAAATCAGATCCCAAAACACAAAACTACTCATTTAAGGTGACTCTAGGATTTTTAGAATTCTACATACCAGCAAATTTTTAAAGAAATTGAATAACTCAGCAAAGAAAAATTTCTATTGGAACATCAATATCCATGTTGGAAAAAGATGGCAGGTGGCATTTGAGCTATCTAAGAGTTTTTTTTTTTTTTTTTTTTCTTTTTAAATTCATAAGTCAATTTTCTTCAAAATTTGTGTGCTTGTTTATTGCTTATGGATTGAAATTTGAGTAAAATTTAGTTAAGATAAATGGTTTAATAAACATTTATTGGGATTTTAAAAAAACTATATTAATTAATTAAGATTTATTTAGGATTTTTTAAAATTTGGTCAAGTTGTTTAAGATTTTATCTAAGATTTAATTATGATTTAATTAGAATTTGATCTAGGATTTAAGATTTTGTTAGAATTTGGCTAGGATTTCATTAGGATTTAGGACCACATCAAGATTTGGTTAGGATTTATATAAGATTTACTCAGAATTTATTTAAGATATATTTTTATTATTTTTTTATTTTTTTATTTCTTAAAAGATTTATAATTTTAATATTTTTTAATTTATTATTATTTATTTAAGATTTTTATTTTATATATTTTTAGAATATCTTTATTATTTTTCTTTGAGATTAATTTATCACTTCTTTATACTTTTTTTGTGTTTTTTTTAAAAATTTCTTTTAAATTGGTTAAAGTTTGATTATGATTATTAAGGATTACTTAGAATTTATTTAAGATTCTATTATACTTAATAGAATCTTATTATTATATTTTTTATTTATCTTCTACAACTAGATGCTTGATGTATTCTTGAGCAAGAATTCATGTTAATTGATATTAGGCAAGTATTTTGAACTAAACATTAATAAAATATATTAATTATTATTATATCTATTTTAAAAAAATCATAGAATATATTAAATAATCAATGATATAATCAATCAAATTAATTAAAGACTTTATAAGGAACATATAATATTACTAAAAATAAAAATTTTAAACTCCTTGCCAAATAGGATGAACATAGTTTTAAATAAGAGCGATAAGTGATAGTTGAATCAACCTTGAGTAGCTATGAAAGTTTTTGATGAGAAGATCTTAATACTACAATAGTCTAAAGTTTTGGTTGGTACTCAATTTTTATTAGAAACAATGAATTTTCTCATTCTCAAGCCATAGGTTGTATGAATCAAGCAAGCAATTTGATAATTTGATTAAAAATAAAAACTATAAAGCTTTTAGACTTTAATTCTCTTCACATTACTTTCCACAACTATATTAAAGTCTTCGCAATCATCCAACTGCAAAGATATAGGATGCAAAGGCAGAATTAAAATAAATATGTGTCCTATTTGCCACACCATCAACTTGTGTACCAGGCCATGGCTCATTGCCATTTGTGTTTTCATTTGCTTAATCAAAGATTGGGATCAGACATGCCCTTGTAAAATTCAATGTCCATTTTCCCTTATAGCTTGTATCTTATAAAGAGGTAGTTGTAATCAAATTTATTAGGCTTTTTTTACAATTATTTAAGCATGATTTTTCTTTGAGTAGACCTCTTGCATGCTTTCTTTCTTAGAAACATTCCAAAACAACATGTTAATCTTAATTAATGTTGTAATTAATTTCTTTAATTAATCTAAATTTTGATTCATATTTGATAAAAACTTATGATGAAAACCATGAAGCATATATCAAATCAAAGAGGGATTTTTTTCTCCTCTTGTTTATCTCCTATATTTGTCTCTTATAAATTTTTTTATATAAGAGATATTTTTTATAAAATATTATAATTATTAATTATTAAATTTCTAATTAAAATTTAAATAATTAAATATATATTTATAATATATTATAAATTTTAATTTAAGATCTAAATTTAGTGATTTTATTTTTTAATTTTTTAATAAAAAATATTTATTTTATTTTAATTATTTTAAATTAAATATACCAAAATATTTATGTTGTACTTGAAAGATTGTTCAAAAATATAATCTAATCCTTATAAATAATTGGAATCTCAAATTAAATATTTTATAATTTTAATTCATTTTTGTTTAAGCTTTTGTTATAAATTCTTAGTACATCCAATTTAATTTTATAGCTATTGCTTACATAAGCTAATTGACTAATTTTAGAAGTGCAGACATCATGTTGCACATATTATGGACTTGATGCATTAAAAAATAAGTAGATTTAATAGGATCAAAAAGTGTGATGGCTTAATTAAAGTCAATAACTTTTTTTTTGATTAATAAATTCAAATTTTAAGTCTTCTTTGTCATTTCCATTTGCCTCATCTTGTACTTCAAATTTAAATATAATTAGTGCTAATAATTACGTCTTTAACAATTCTATGTGTATTAGATTAGTTTCTTTGATAAGATTAAAGATGATATTAATTTTTGTATAATTAATATGTTAATTGGTGCCAAAATCTCTTCTTAGCTAGTTTGTTCATTTGTAGTATTGGTTGGCCTTAGCAAAGCAACTTTTATCTTGTCACTCATACCTTGTATCTTGCCAAATAGCTCAATGTGCCAAAAGTAGTCAACAATAGTAATTGTTAAGATTTTTACTCTCATACATGTTATAAATTTAAGTTTATAAATTTATACATGTAAGTTTTTGAAATGGCCAATGATAAAAAAACTTGAATTTGTCAAAACCATCTATATTGATTATAGTGCCATAGTAAAACACAACTTATCTTTTTTAAGTCTTTTAATATGATACTATAAGTTAGTATAATTAACATCATTTAATTGAAGAACTTATTCTCATTTATGTTATAAATGTTTTCGATGATATTTATTAATATCTTTACTTGAAAGCTTGAAAGATGATTAACAATAGTATTATTATTAGCATAGTCACTTTAGCCACATGACTTTAATTTCTTTAATCCATGATAGAGCTAAAACTTCTACAACTAATTGTTAGAGAAGATTGGCACATTGTTGTCTACTCTTAAAAAAGAATCAAGAAATTTCGTGTATTTTTTAATTGAATTGGTTGAAATCTTAACTCAACAAGCTTTATATTAGAGAATTTAAAGTGATAGTGCTCTATTAAGTTGATAATTGGTAATAATATGTTGTCTTTTAGAACTAGACTTAGTAAAATTAGAATTTTCAAATGAATCTTTTTTGGTTAGAATATTGCTATTTTTTCTAAGAGAGTATTTAAAAAGATTAAATGTATTCTTGGTCCAAGCACAAAATGACTTCTAGTTTATTAATGACTTATCTTAATTGTACTAATAGAGTACTTATTTTTGTTTATTTATTAATATTATAATTATTCAAATAGCTTCTATTATTTAGAGATGAAGTTATACCAAATAAATAAAAGTAAATAAGGATTTAAGTAAGAAAAAAACTTATAATTCTATAAACACAACTAATTCTATTAGCATTATAAAGACACAAGTCATGAGCACAATCACATTAGTGAAGTATGATTTAGTATCAACAATAATTGCAATACCATAACAAAAGTATAATTCTGATTTAGGTACTCTACCTCCATCAAAAAATGTGATCTTCAATTCAAAAAACAAAAATACTTTTCAGAAGAATGTTTGTGAAATTAGTAAAAAAAAAAAAAAAAAGAACAAAAAACAAAAAAAACAAACAAACAAACAAACAAAAATACAAGCTAAGATTCTTTACATGATACATGTATTTATTGTTGTTATAATTCAAGAAAAAAACAATATTAACTTATCTCTTATAAAAAATTATCTAGACAACAAGTAGTCAAAGTAATAAATAATCATGATCATGATTATTTAACATGATTATCATGATTATCAACAAATAATCATGATTAGCACAAAGTGTTTTAAATTTTAATATACTATATAATATTTAATATCAAATTGATAAAAAAAATGGCAGAGAGTACACTGCTATATTTCCAAGTTGATACAATCTATATTTACAAATTATATTAAATAGTAGAAATTCTTTGCAATTTAATAACCTCTTCTACTAAATATAATTTTTTGTTTTTAATTATCTTAAGACGGTAAAACTATATAAATTTTTTATTTCTGCAATGAACTAGTTTTATTAAATTAAGTATGTATTTACATATAGATATAGATAGAAGTATAAAAATATAAGCTGCAAATGATTATTTGTGTATTGGATATATTATTCATTTTACTAGTTTTTTCTTACTTAAAATAATTAAAAATTAATTAACATAAATTTAAAAGATGTAAATAAGTCAACAAAAACCACAACAATGACATTCTTTAACATGAAAGTAAAAGTAAAGAATAATGAAATGTCTACAAATAACTTGGATAAGGCCTTGAATTTGAGTTTTCTTAGAATTCTAAACAGTGCAGGTAAGTACTAAAACCTCATGACAGAAGTAGATGTGCTGAAGTAGTAGGATGCATTTGCCATGGAAATGGAGGCTGGAGGGCAAACGAAGGGAATGAATGGGGGGAGGAGGAGGAGGAGATGGGAGGAGAAGGGGAACCCAAAAGAAGTGTGAGGGAGGGAGGGAGGGTCGGGGTTTGGCCCATTCAGAAGGGATGAGGGGGCTTAACCGCGATCAGGGCTGAAGCGTTGCCGAAATACGTCCAGTGCCGGGGAGAGTTAGGAGCCCGCAACAGCCCCGCCACCAAACCCAAAATACTGAGAATGCATCAGGGCACCGGATCCGATGGATCTTCCGCCCCCGCCCACCCCAACCCAACCTATTCCCTGCTGTTGCTGCATCTGCTGCTGTATCCTCCAACTTCACAGTGCTCGCGCTTCCATTTGGTGGCGGTGGGTCACAAACCTGCTTTTGCTGCCTTTCATCTGCATGCAACATCATCATCCCCTCCACCCCCCACCACGCTGCTGTGTCTGTGTCGTGTCGTGTCATGTCAAGTCTTGTCGCAGCTGCCGCAGCTCCCCTCCCTCCTTCCCCTCCCTCCCTCCCATTCCTTCTTCTGTCGCTCATCTTCCAGTCTCCCCACTCAACCTACAAAGTGCTTGCCTCCGCACGTCTGCATTGCACTCTCCCTTTGTTGTGTCCTCGCCTTGTCACCCATTCCACTCTTTCGATCAGTCCCACTTCTCAATATTCTTTTCCTGTCCCTGAGCAGTGGTGCTGTTAGGTTGGTGTTCATACGTGTGGTTACTGAGGTGTTTAGATCCACCACAGTTGCCGGCGCTGAAGCTTAGCTAATCATTCTTAATCTGTGGAGGCATGGAACTGCTGGGTCCAGTGCAACTGGTTCCGTCCTCAAGGGTCAACGTCATGTTTTTGGTGATCGTATCAGTGCTGTTATTGAGCTTGGTGCGGGACACCCGCGGATTCGACTACAGTGACGCCCTCGAAAGGTCACTTGTATTCTACGAAGGCCAACGCTCTGGAATGATTCCTCATGATCAGCGAATGTATTGGCGAGGCAATTCCGCTCTTACAGACGGCAATGTATCAAATGTCAGTTACCTTCAGCATCATTTAGTCGATGAGTTCATCCTATCTTGGCTACATAATCTAGGCAGTGTAGTTGTCACATAGTGCTTGTATCGTTCGTAAGTTACAAGCATCTGTCAAGCCAGGACTTCTAACAATTAGTGAATGCCAAAAGAGGATACTAAGCTAGTACAGGTTCGGGGAAAAGTACCGAGGATATCAGCTCGTTTTAAAAGTTCACTGTGGTCAACAGTTTACATCTTCCTGATGTCCAGCGACGTTTTGCTGAAGCGGTAAGAGGCTTCTATTTGTGATTACAGATTCCTAAACTCGAAATCCATGTTTTTGTAACAATGCATGGTACTGCGTGAAATGAGGCAGGTGAATCTGACTGGTGGCTACTACGATGCGGGAGACAATGTGAAGTATCAATTCCCCATGGCGTTTACAATCACTCTCCTCTCCTGGAGTGTGATCGAGTACAGGACTGAAATCCAGAACGCCGATCAGCTTCAATATGCGCTTCGTAATATCATGTGGGGTACCGATTATTTTCTCAAAGCGATCACTGGTCCAGACCAGATATATGTTCAGGTATTAATATTATGTCTCTGCAATCAAGTAATAAATATTATTGTCGGTTTCAAATTTACACAAAGGCCTAGGGACCCTTACTACTCTTCAATTCGCGGGATCATTAAGCACCCAACATTATTCCTCGTAGAATTATGATTCTGAGAGATGGTCTTGCTCAAGTTTGCGCGAAAAGGGCATGTAGTACGTCAATGCAAATAACTGATCATTCTCGTACCCCAATTCAGTATTCGCTCCTGGAGAGGCACTGCCACTCGAGCGCTACTTCGAAGGAAGTGCCGAGTCTCTGAGACTGCTGCCCTGAGCTAATGCCTTGCAAACAAAAATTGAAATATTCCTTTCAGTAGGTCTCTGTGTCATTCATCTCTCGACGGTACGAAACGCCAACTTGCTGAAAACGTTCTAACTTGTAAAGAGATGGAATGATGAACTATTTCTATCCACGGGAGGATAAAGATATTTCTAGTTGCACCTAAAACAAACAAACATGCCTGGTGACACGCCGAACAAGTCTTACTTTTCAGGAAATGGTACGAAACAAAGAGCGTTGCGGATACTATCGGAGTATCAAAACTAAAATGTATTATGAATTGGAAAGGTAGGGGACCCCCAAAGTGACCACCAGTGTTGGGAGCGCCCAGAGGATATGGACACCCAGCGTGTGACGTTGCAAATCAACTCCTCATCGCCGGGAACTGAAGTGGCGGCAGAGACAGCTGCAGCGCTTGCAGCAGCCTCCATTGCGATCCGAGATTCTAACTTGCGTTATTCTGAGAGCCTCTTGGAGACAGCCTTCAGTGTGAGTGAAATACATCACTGCTTACTTCGCATTTGTATCAAGGCACTCCCTTATGTGTGATCGCTACACAGGAACCCTGAGTTGAATCTGGAAACCAGAGAAAAGTTAACATATTGACTTAGACCATCTTGTTCGCAGGTATTTGAATTTGCGAATACGTACCGTGGAACATTTACCGGAGCCTGCCCTTTTTATTGCTCAGCTTCTGGCTACAATGTGCGGTGCTTTCTCAACAATCCACGTGCAGTTACTCATTTGAAACTAAAAAGATATTATCCCTTTCAAATACTTCGTCCACAACTTCTTCAGACAAAGATGATTAAAAATCATTTTTTTCTTTTTTTCTTTTTATGCTTTCTTTCAGGATGAGCTGCTGTGGGCTGCTGCGTGGTTGTACAAAGCTTCTAGTAACCCTCTATACCTGCGTTTTCTGGTTGAAAATGCTGGCACTTGCGGCGAAATGAATGAGTTCAGTTGGGACAACAAAAACGCCGGAGTTCAGATTCTCCTCTCCAAGGTAAACTAAAACCAACTGGCTTAAGTCGATGTGCAAGTTAATTTTTTAAAATTACAATCTAATACTTGTAATTTTCTTGTAATATGTGTTAAAGCTATTACTTAAACGACAATGGTTGGAGTGCTACAGCTCTATTTTGAAGGCGAAACTTCTCTTAGGCTCTATGCAAAACTTGCATCCAACTATGTATGCCACATTCTTCCAAGGAATTCCATGACATCAGTTTCATTTACTCCAGGTGATTATTATCCTCACAACAAAAAGATAATTTTGGTCTTTATAAAAAACATGTTATTTATTTTTCTTTTGGCAAGTTCAAACAATTCAATGTGTAATTATGTGAAGTGGTGCAGGAGGACTTTTATATGTCAGGGAAGGGGCCAATATGCAATATGTAACTAGTGCAGCATTACTTATTTCAATTTTTGCCGACTATCTTAACAACAATAACCAAACATTGGCATGTGGCAACACTATCTTTAGTCCAAATGATCTAATGAATTTTACCAAAAGTCAGGTGATGTTTTTTTCAAATTCATTATATTGAATTTTTGTTTTTAAATCATTCTTTCTTTCTTAAAATAAATAAAATTTCTTAATTAATTAAAATTTTATTTATTTATTTATATTCTTTATTTAATGTACTTCTTATATCATATAATCAGGTTGATTATATACTAGGACAAAATCCTCAAGGCATCTCATACATGGTGGGTTTTGGATCAAGATATCCAACACAAGTTCATCATAGAGGAGCTTCTATAATTTCTGTGCATGAAAATGCTGCACACATTGGTTGCGGAGAGGGATTTGTCAATTATTTTGATCGAAATAGTGCCAACCCTAATGTATTGACTGGTGCAATTGTGGGCGGCCCTAATATCAACGATGAGTTTCATGATTCTAGGAGAGAATCCAGTTATACGGAGCCAACAACATATGTTAATTCAGGGTAAGAAAATTTTAACAATTCTCTTTACTATTATAAAATGTATTTGAAGAAACACTATTTACATATTGTTACAACTATCACAAATGTACTTGTACGTTTTATTTACTTTTATTATGATTTTTTTAATAATTTTCTATTCATTGCATTAAATTGGACATTGCAGACTTGTTGGTGTTCTTGCTCGCTTGCTCAGATGATCAATTATCAACCTTGTAAATTCAAATGCTAAAAGTAAAATTTGATACAAAATACCTATTTAGAATAAATGAAATCTATTTATAATTTTAATGTTTACTTCTTTAAGTTATATATTATAAATTCTCTTAATTGAGAATTTGAAAGAATTGTTAATAATAGAATTAGAAATTAGAAACTCAATAACACTAGATTACTAATTTCTGAAATTTTAAGTTATTTTGGTGTGTTTTTTAGATTAAAAAACATAAGAATCTTATAAATCAAATATTATTCTGAATGTAAATTATTTTATTTTTAAGAATCAAAGTAAAATAAAATTTCAAATATGTTTTAGTTACTTTTTCTTTCAATTTAGTTATTAAGTGTATTATCAGATATAGTTGATTTTCTTCTGCTTTTCATACTTATTCAATTCAAACTTTATTATTTTGAGTATATTATGATGATAAATGATAAATTTTATAAATATAATTATTTTTATTAAATATATATTAAAAAATAATAATTATTGATATTTTATATGATATTTATATAATAAATAATTAAAAAATTATTATACTTCTTTTTATAAAATAATATTTATATTAAAATTTTAAATATCAAAGATTATGTGAAAGGTATTTAAGATTTTATTTGATTATAATTCAATAATCCAAATTACAAAATTTTACTAAAAAAATCTTTAAATTTTTAATTTTTTAATTTAAAAATAAATCATGTGATATAATATATGAAGGTAAATTCTACCCTTCAACCCAAATTACAAGATGGCATCAATTAAGAGTTCATTATAATTAGTGGTATGAAGTAGAAGTAGCAAGAATAAGAACAAAAGAGGCACAATACAAAAATAAGTGAAACAATTACAATCAAGCAATTATATACTACAAAATTAGTTACAATTTATTCACGAAATTTTTATCTAGTAAAAAGTTTAAAATAAAAGTTTAAAATATATTTTTTAATCTTTTCAATAGAATAAGATTCATATAAATCCAAGTTACTATGAAAAAGTTATGAAGGTTTAAAAACAACAAGTAAATAATTAAAAAGTTACGAGAATAATTTTTACCTCAAAGATAACTTGCTTAAGAGATGAAGAATTCAAGCCTCATCAAGGCTCACAAGTAGTGCAGATGGATATTTAAGAGAGGCCACAAGGCCTTAGTCTTATCCTCCTAACTACCTTCAAGGTGCTACAATCCATATGAGACTTATGCACTTCCTTTCTTACAAGTACTACACTAGCTGTTGGTCCTCCTATTTTCTACTAGTAAAATCAATATTTTTACATTTTTGACTTTACTATGGTGTTTAAAAATACCCAAATATCCTAAGAGTATTGAGAGGCCTTCAAATCTTGCTCTATTTCTTCATAATGGCTTCTAAAGTGGTAAAACTCATTTTTATCAAAGTCTTGAAATTGCTCTAAAAATTCCTGATTTTTTTAAAATAAATTTTAAATAAAATTTTAAAATTCTAATAATATTTCTACAATATAAATATCAATTTAAAGCTATATTTTCTATTTTATTGATTTTTTATAATAATAAAATCAATTTAAGTCAACTATAAATCCTATTTCTTATATAACTAGCTAAAAAGATATGAGGTCTTTTCTCATACTTCTTCTAATTATTAACTAATATTTCTAATTTTTTTAATTAAAAGTAATACTTATAGATGTAAGAACAATGTAAATATTGATCTTAATAAATAACCATTGATACTCAATAATAAATAAAATTACTAAATCAACCAAGATAATTACTTTTAAGACTTACTAAGTAAATTGATACATAAATAAATAATATTAAGAATATAAAAATATTATTAATAAAAATAAAAATAAAAATAATTAATCCATATTTTTAAAGAAATATTTATAATCTAAATTCATTATCACATAATAAGCACTTTGTTAGTAATTAAAATTTCCAAAATAATTGAAAATACAATTTTTTTTTATCAATCATTCTTTCATTGTATTAAGTTTGAGCTCTTCTAGAATGATTTTTTAAATAGATGTTCTTATATTTGTATAATATATTGATTAAATATTAGTATTAATCATGCTTCTATTTTTTAATGGAAAAAAAAAAAAAAAAAAAAAAAAAAAAAAACTTTGAAGTCACCAATACATATTATCAAAAATGTTGCTCACAAAAAGAATATAAAATAAGATGTCTTTCACTTCAAATTCCCATTACTTATAGGTGGTGGCTATTGTCCTAATGGACAACTTTCATCTTTTGATGAATACATCCATCTAATATTCTACCAAAACTATCCATAGCTATCTTATCTATTATAAGAATATACCTTTAATATATTCTTTATATCTTTAAGTTCTTTTTTTTCTTCATCTATTTTATTTCTTGGCCTTCTTATATATCAAAAATTAATCTTTTGACCAATAATAATATATTTAAAGTAATATCTTCTATAATGTAACTTATTCTACTTTCACTTTTACTTAATTATTTTAATACTCTTACTTTGCTATTAATCAAAGGCTTTCAATCTTAATGTCTTTGTCAATATGTGATGTCTATCCTTTACAATTGCATTTATCAACAATCAGCAAGCATATCTTTTGTTGCATAATGCTTCATATCAATCACTCTCATTTCAATATTCTCTCTAATGAAGTAATATTGAATATCAATATGCTTGATTCTTAAATGATGCTTGAATTTTTTGCAAATACAAGACATCTTTGATTCTTACACTCTATTGAAGTTGCTTCTATTTATATAATTCCAATGTCCTCTAAAAAATCGTCTTAGCTATATTACATCTATTACACTATGGCTTGCCACCATATATTCTGCCTTCATAATTGATCTTGCAATTGCTGTTTGTCTATTGCAATTCCAAGAAGTAGCTCCCACTTCAAAAAAAAAAAAAAAAAAAAAAAAAAAAATCTCATTGTTGATCTTTTATATAAAGGATCAAATCATCAATATAAAGGATGATAATCAATACAAATTCACTTGATTGTATCACATATATAGAATGATCAACCTTAATTTTTTCAAACTCTTTATTTAAGAAGAATGTGTCAATATGTTGATACCAAATCCTTCATTATTGCTTGAATCCATACAAGGATTTCTTCAATTTATAAACAAAGTATTGTTTGTCTTATTCAAAAAATCCTTGAAGTTGATCCAAATAAATGTCTTCTTATGATATTTCATTTTAAAAAGCCGTCTTTATATCTATTTGATGCATCTCTAACTCTATTGCTGCTCCTATTGCCACAATAGTTCTAATAGTGTTGAATTTGGCCATGAGAGCAAATGTCTCATTGAAATCAACACCATCAACTTGTGAGTAGTCTTTGGCAACTAATCTAGCCCTATATCTCACAATATTATCCATTGCATCCTTCTTGGTTCTAAACACCTATTTACAATTAATTAAAAATTAATTTTATGGAAATTGAGTCATTTTCTATGTTTCATTATTTATGAGTGATTTGTACTCTTCTTCTATAGTATTCTTCCATTTCATATACTATATGGACTTCATTGCATTACAAAAATTTAATGGATCAGTAAGAAGTATAACATTGGTATATTCTTTACTTACTTCAAGTAAGATATCACTAAGTTATTTTCTATCTCTCAAAAGAAGATTTTTTCTCTTTTTACTTAATGAAGATTCACCTTCTTGTACTTGAAGGTCTCTTGCAACCTTCTTTTTTCTTAAAGCTTATTTCTTCAAAGTTAATAGTTGATATTCTTCATCATCAACATCTTCAACATCTTGATTGTCTTCATTTCAGATTCTAGCAATTGTAGATACACTTTGATCTGTCTTATTTGGCTCTTCATCTTTACTTACACCTTTACCATCTTCTTCTTTCTTTTCTAGAATTGAAGATATATCTACAAACATATCATTATTTTTATTCAAATATATTTTCAAATGCTCACAAATATTCTTATGCTTCAAAAATTCTACATCACAATTTTTGATGATCTTTTTGGTTTTTAAATACATAAGCCTATATACTTTGGTACCTTCAAAATATTCACCAAAACACATTTTGTACCTTTTGCATCAAGTTTGGATCTCATAAAATCTAATATTTTTACATAAACAATACATTTAAAAATCTTCACATATAAAATACAAGGTTTTTTGCCACTCAAAGCTTCTTACAGAGTCATTGATGTGAGTACACTTATAAAACACATATTCTTTGTATATACTACTATAACCATGGCTTCCACTTAATATTCATGTCTAAGATTTTGTGCTTAAAGTATACTCCTTCTCATCTCTACAATGATGTAATTTTTTCTTTTAGTAACTCTATTTTATTGTAGAATGTAAAAAGTAGAGATTTATCTTGCAAAGCCTTGAAACTTTAAAAAATCATCAAAATGCTTTGACACATATTCACTTTCATTGTTTGTGTATAACACTTTGATCTTGCACTTACATTATTTTTTTTATAAGTGCCTTAAATTCCTTAAATCTTGACAAATATTTACTTTTGGCTTTGAAGATATAAACATATAATTTTTTTGAAAAATCATCAATAAATGAGATAAAATACTTTGATCCTCCAATTGATAGCATCTTCATTAATCCAAAAACATCAAAATACACAATCTCCAATAATTTTCTAGTACTTTTTGTAATTTCTTTTAGAAATGAAGCCATTTATTTTTTATCTTAGATATAGTCTTTACAAATAAGTATTATGGCATTATGACTAAATTGACCAAGATTCAACCCACTTACTATGGATTAGAGCTCTTTCATGCTTTTGGCATTCAAATGACTAAGTTGTTGATGCCAAATTCTAACTTATTTTGATTTTGTAGAAACTCAGAAAGTACTGCTACTTCAGTTCTATTGATCTTATAATTGATAAAGTAGAGGTTACCATCTTTTAGGCCTTTAGAAATATATTTTCTACTTAGTGTCTTCACAAAAAAATCATTTATATTAAATTGAACCTTACAATCATGTGATACAAGTTTACTCATTAAAAAAAGGTTTTTTTTCATCTTTGGCACATCTAAGACTTTTTTCAATTTGATCCTCTTCATTTGGTCCTTCATAAGGATCTCTAC